CAATCAAGAGTTTGCAAGCTTAGCAGTCTGAACTTTAACCTATAGCAGTTTTATCCGGTTCACTTGTTTGCTCTATATTTGTATTTATACCGAGGTTAAGTTTCTTTAACTCTTTATTGCTTATGCACATAACTAAGTGGTTAAAATGTTACAATTTTCAACACTATAGGACCTGGGTTCAAATCTCACCAAGTTTGATTTGTCAAGGAGGTGATTTTTGATAATATCAACCTGGGGAAATTATCCAATATGTCAATACTGGTTGGAAGTTCTTGAAAACCATACCATGGATTGACCCAAGCATTGTAAGTGAAATTGGATAGATAGAACTGTTTGAAAACTGATGACGGATATGTTAATGCTAAATCACAAATCATTTAAGACTAAGAATTTCAGCATACTGACCTTTTTCAAACTATTGATCTCGCCAGATTATGCGCTCTCTCCTAGAAAATTTTAACTAAGGTCTGCTCAGCATAGTTGTACTATAAACCAGAGGTGGGCAACATTTTTGAGAGTGAGTGTCAAAAGCAGCCAAAGCTCTGTCACAAAATTTTTCCACATGCCAACAAAAATTATTGACATCTCAAAACTAGCAGAAAAATTAGAAATAGTCCTACCTGAAATAAAAGTTCATAAAAGTATCAGCCTGTTTTTTTTGTTTTACGCAGTTTACAAGAAATTCATTTTCTTTTGTTTTTTTCCTTTTCACTTTTATTGCTTAAGTTCTTCTGAACACTTTCAAACTGTCACTTTCCTCTTTTGGGTTCTTTTCACTGGATCTTAACTAACGCCTTTATCCGCTGTGACGTGTCCTGAAGGACACATGGCACAGTGGATAAAGAGCATGAGTTCAATACCCGGCTAAAGCAGTGGAGAACTTTCAGAGGGAAATTAACACAAGATAACTGATAACTGACATCCATTAAACATAGCACATGGAACTAGAACAGTCCACCCCAGTGAGCGAAATAAAGGGTTGAGTTCGACATTCCAACCACCTGAAGAAGGCCGGAGCATACAACGGCCGAAATGTTGTAATAAATATAGCGACAAAGATGAGGACAATAGTCTGAATAATGTAAATAATGAACTTAAGATTTGTCCAGAATTTGAACTCTGCTCATCTTCCGTACCATAATCTATTGCTTTTTAGTTAATAAAAATTTTTTATTAGTTTTGTCTAACTTTCAGAAGACTGTAGTTATTTTTTCTTTCCTTTTGTTTTTATTAATGTGTATTTATATATTTCCTGTCCCATCTGGAGTAGGAAGAGAGATAAGGTAAATCAAGTTTTTCTTTCATTGCCTCTGACTATTAAAACTTTCTAACAATTGCTGTCAGTTTTTTATGACACATGTACACTATTATGTGTGTGTGTGTGTGTACACACACACACAAAATAATAAATGCTAAAGCTTAAAATAAGCTAAAAGTTTAAAATATAAAAAAAACTTGGATCAGTGCCAAAGTTGACATAACCTAAATATTATATAATAACATTATCAATACTAAAATTCACCATTGTATCAACAATCATCAGGCGGAAGTTCTGCCATATGATTGTTGATACATGAAACTCTGAGTAGCAGGTTTTGGCACTGATAATGTTTTTATATATATATATATATATATATATATATATATATATATATATATATATATATATAAGGAACAGTGTTAGGAAAATCAATGATATAGTGGGCGGGGAAAGTTTTATGTGATGTGTCTAGTCCTTTACATTTGGTGTAACTACACATGCACATGAAGGAGAAGGGCACTGAAATTTTTATATCCATATTTTTTTTTTTTTTTATTTAAATTTAGTTTCTTTTCTTTTGGTTTATATTTTTCATCACTTTTGTTATTATGCATCCCACATTATGATAATTGAAGATCTGCCAATTAAAGGTAGATTACTGTGGATGATCCCACAATTAAAAGCACTTCCTAGATAATTTGCATCTTAGTAAATTGCTCTCTCTTTTAATCAAAGTAGGACTTTTTATGAAAATCATGTTCAGACTCATTACAGTGTGCAATCACTGTGAATTGAGTGGCTCTTGGGCCTTGTATTGTGGTGAAAAATAGCATTAAAAATGATATCAGAAAAATATATTTAAAATTTTTTGGATACATAATGTGGAAAAAAATTTTTGAGAATTTAGCATTCACAGAACATATCGATCAAGAGGTACTTTGACACCATTATACAAACAGATAGGGAAACATGTACAATAAAATAAGAGAAAATATTGCTAAGAAAAAGATAAGAAAATGTGGAGAATCCTAATGTGTCGTGTCCATAAGAGTTATGGCACATGGAGAATGTGTTTATTTCTTGAAAAATCAATAGTTACTGACTTCTGCTATTGTTACTAAATATGGTCTATTGGTGTTGGGTAAATTGGGAGGGGATGAAAACCTGAGGAGAGATATAGAGGTTTTGACTTGAATGAAAAAGCCAATAATAATAATAATAGGGAATTTCACACTGGATTTCCCATTTAATGGTAGGGATTAGTAGTTGAAATTAAGTGACCAATTGAAATAAGTTGTACTATTTAACATAAATTGTTGTTTTTCTTGTTTGATTTTTTTTTCTAGAAGCTAGAAATAAGAGTGGAGAAAATTATTTAAAGAGTGATATACTAAATATAGCTGAGAAATAGCATAAGTATAGGGCACTCTATGATAATTGAACTATTCAACTGTAATTGATCTAACTAACTTATTAACCATTATACCACATTAAAGTTTCCAAAGTATAAAAAAATATACTGGCTTCAGTGTTTCACTAAATTTTTTTCATTTGTAATAAGTTTTCTTGCATTTTGGCTGGTTTTGTGAGCCTGGAAAATTGTCAAGGTGCCATGTTGGGTTGTTCATGGCATAGCCAGAGCAAAGGGAGATTACTCTGCACTGCCCATTCTAATAGGAAGAGACAGTACATGTTAGCTGGTAATTATAATATGTTAAAAAATAAATGAGTGTATCCTTAGACTTTATGTGAGAGGTTGAAAACATGACACAATGACAGTTTTGAGGCCTGCTTGAAGATTAAAAATTCGACTTTTTTGGGGGAGGGGGAGGGGGGGAATTTGACATTTGCAGGACATATTGAAGGCAAGTAGGTTACCTAATGAGTTTGGGCAAAAGGGATGGCAGAACAGGGAATGGTAGAGATAGTAAAAAAAGAATAAATATTGTTAAGAGCTAGAAAGGATAGGAAGTTATGGAGAACCATGATTGCCCACATCTTGAATGGGCATTGCACATAGAAGAGTGTGACCTTATTTAAAAATCATGCTGAAGTTTTGGATTCTATTAAATTTAAATATCGGCATTGGGGTCTGCACAAAACATTTCAATCTTTTTTAATCTGGATTTTTTTTACTGGGTTTTTATTACAGCAATAAATTGTAGTAAATAACTGTTTGCTTGTTTGTTTTTTTTTGTAAGGACTCATGACATAATAATATTACATAATAATTATTACAGCAATAAATTGTAGCAAATAACTTTTTTTTTTTTTTGTTTTGTTTTTTTTTTTTTTTTGTAAGGACTTATGACATAATAAATGTGACCAAAAGGTTAGCATTTATGCGTCACCTGTGGAGCATTGCTTCTATTACATAATGTTAATTTTAGTTTTGTTTCTAGTGAAGAAACTTTCAGCTTGATATCCGTTTTTTTTTCTTTTTTTTTTTTTCATATGGCTACACTAGATAGAATCTATGTAGCTGATCTGGTGAACGCAAACTGAGGGTCAAATTTAGCACCATACTTGTACATCATGGAATTTTAAAATAATATTCTAAAAAAAAAAAAAAGAGAATGTTCTAGGATTTCATGAGTAATTACATAAAATTTTGTGCTTAATACCTCTAACAATTCTTGAGTTATGGACAAAAAAAAAGGTAATTTGTGAAGTATAGTACCAGTGGGTGCTGAAAATTTTCCAAATATAGTAATTTTCAGCACATCCTTATAATATAACACAATGCCAAATGAATGGGAATTGTGATAGGAAAATTTTTATGCAAAACTTTCCAAATGAAAGGGACTTGAAAATCAGCATTTAAAATTATATAAAATTTTAATTTTAAACCAAAATTGGAAATACTTAACTGTTTTTTCAGCAATAATACAAGCAACCTTTTTGCGTGTTTAATTCAACGCTACACCTGTCAAGTGTACCATTTTCTCATCTGTATAAGCTCAAATTTTTTCTTTCTTTTTTTTTTTTTTCCCTTTCTCTTCCCCCTCCCCCTTTTCAAGTTTCAACTTTGCTTAGATTAATAAAAATCATTTTTTATGCCATTACCACATTTGAATTCTTCTATAGGTGGGGTAGAGGTTGTATCAGAAGTTCATATAAATTTCTCAGCCTAATTGGCCATATTTAGAAAGTGAGTTAAGCTCAAGATTATTCAATACTACTTCATACAATAGAAAAATATGTCTTCAACCCTAAGTCTGCTTTATGAACTCCACAAACACAAATGTTAATTTTTTTTTTTTTTCCCCTGAGTTTAACAGTTTGGAATTCAAATCTAATGATTAATAACAACCCTAAATAATTTGATAAATCCATAAAAGCAAGTAAGAAAAATTTAATGTAAATTTGTATTTTCTTGCATAATGAGTTTGTGACCTCTGTTTTTCCTCTTGTTAAATGGTTTTTTTTTGTTTGTTTGTTTTTATTTTGTTAACTGTTTTTGTTTCTTTTACTTTCAGAATTCTTTAGAAAACTATTGAAAAAATCCTACCGCGAATTACATGTGATGTTTGTTACAACATATGGCCTGCTCTACCAACAGAACTCTCGTGTTTTCTCTGAACTCTTTGCAAATTTGACGGAATATTACAATGGTCGAGATGTTGATCTTGAGAAAGCTTTGAGGTCTTTCTTTATAAACTTGTTGAAAAAGATGTTTCAGTTGCTGAATCTGGACTACAAACTCGATGAGTCCTATTTGGATTGCGTAGGTTCAAAAATGGATAAGTTTAAGCCGTTTGAAGATATTCCCAAAAAACTGGCCACTCAAGTCAAGAGAGCTTTTATAGCTGCAAGGACTTTTGTACAAGGGTTAACTATTGGACGTGATTTTATCAATGCTATTTCAAAGGTAAGTTTTTATTAATCTCTCTTGTAAACTTCATTGTTGCATAGGCTTTTTTGCAAGTAGGTGAATAGTTCTGACCACGCCCTACATGTGGGTGAGATCTTTGAAAGCCATTCCCTAACAAAATATAGAGAATGGAATTACATTTCATAATCTCACTTTGGAATAAGAATAGAAAAATTTAAAGACAAGATATATGGTGTAACAGCAAAATTGTTCGTTGTTAGATTAAGCTTTGAACTGCTGTATCTTACTGGAATTTTTCAAGGTTTTTATAACACTATTGGACTCTACTTTGAGTAATAAGAAAGTATAATTACTCTCTAAGCTTAACAGAAGAATCCTGATGAAATCAATCATAAATGAAAATGGCTTGTTCATTAATTAATCATAGCTAAGGATCAAGCTCACATAGGATTGAAATTAAGTTCAACTATATATATATATTATTCCAGGATCATTTTCCAACTTATTCAAGATGATCTTTGCCCTCTTTAATCTAACTTTCTGTTCTGGAGTAACAAGTTGCCTAAGAGGTTACACTTTCAAGTCTTTTTTTTACTGCTCTTTGGACTGTCATAGCTGAAACTCTTCTTTCACATATCAAACGTCTTATGGATTGAGTTGGATCTTTTCTAATTGATCTCTTTGGCTCTAAGTTGAAATGATGACCCCCCCCCACTTCATGTTTTGATCTCCTAATCCAGTTTTTCTCTCTACTGTTCCCTCTTTTTTAAACATATTCCCCATTCTCTTGATGATTCTTGAATGGACTTTGAAGATGGAAGGCAGAAAATGAATGTTGGTACCATTACTGAAGGCCTAAAATGACCTTTTTCTTTTGACAATTGCTCAGTTGGGAAGAGAGTGGATCTGACACAAAACGATTTCATCCTGTTCTATTTTGAGCTGAATAACTCAAAGGTTTTTTCAATGATTCCTACGATAAGTGATGTCAAGATGGCTAAATGTCTTATCTAAAAACCTGTAAAAAAGAAACTCAGATTAACAGATTTTTAGATATTAAACATTTTGTGGGATGTACAATTATGCTGTTACACAATTTGGACAATTTTGCTTTTACACCCTGTGTGTGTGTGTGTGTGTATATATATATATATATATGTCCTTTCGAACATTTTGTTTTTTTTTTTTTTTGCTTTTGTTGTTGGGACCATATCAATGATGGATGAATTGTTGCATTTTGCCTGACATTTTGTTGCTTTTGCAAAAATATTGTTTTTATAAACAATACAACTGCTTGGGAATACCTGGTGTTGTAAGCTTGGCTGTGTAGATGGTGTCATAAATATCAGCTTGGAATGAGAAATCAGAAATCCAAGTTCGAATTCCAGTCAAGTTCATTACATTCACTTATGTACAAATACCCATGGGAATGGTATGAATCCATCTTCCCCCCCCCAGAGCTATGGGTTAAATAGCCGGACAACCTAGGTCTTATAGCCTTGGTTGGCAACCATCTACAACAGAAAATAATGGCCACCGACAGCAGGAATTCTTCTCTCAAGTAAATCCTGAATCAAGTTGAGAGATGATTACCCAAGCATGCATCATGCATGACACCTAAGAAAAGAAACTCTTTCTAATTTAATTTCTTACTAAACTTTATTTAAATATTTATTTATTTAAATATATCAAACAAATTTAGGATAGTCATCAGAATTCTTTAAATACCTTCCTTTTCAATTTAATTTATATAATAATAATAATAAAGCATTGACTTTTAATTGGAAATGCTAAAATATCAGCTTTGTCTGTTTTGGATAAATCTTTTAGCATCTAATTCAAAATTATCCACTTACCTTATTTCCTGACAGATGAAGAGGAGACTTGATGCATCAGAGATATGGTGCTATGTAAGGAAGCTGAGAATACCATGGGCAGAGCATGTGTACAATGAGGAAGTTTTAAGGAAAATGAAAACAAAAATGGAAATCATACTTACAATGAAAAAAATGTGAAATTTCTGGGACATATATAATGAGGAAAGAAGTCTTGGAGACTCTGACACTTACAAGGCATATTGAAGGCAAAAGAGACAGAAGGGGGAAACGGCCATTAACCTACCTAATGAGCTTGTGTAAATAGATGGCCAAATAAAGCACTAGGACGGGTAGTTAGGGGACTAATATTAAAGGATATGAAGTTGTGGGGAGCTATGAGTGCCTACATTTTGAATGGAAGGAACATAAAAGATTTTTTATTGAAATAATTTCTTTTCATATTTGAGGAATGAGATACTCCCCCACCTCCCCAATTTCTAGAAACAAGTATTGGCAGGCAACAGTATCTGGGTAAAAATTAGTCTACCAGACATTTCAATTTAGTATATAAGACCCAGGGGATTTTTTTCACACATTTATGGGAGAAGGACTTATATGCCATTAAACATAGTTTAAAAGTTGTTTATGTGGAGACAAGCTATTTTCTTTATAAATTTTGTTGTATTTCCTTAAATAAAGCCTTATCATTAACTTCTGAATAAGTCTTCATTTGATTTTTGTTGTTTCTAAGAGATGACGGTTCAAATATTACTGGAAGTTAATTGTTTTTTTTTTTTTTGTTTTCTTTTTGTTCCCAGTTTGCATTTAAATCAGGACCTCAGCAACAAACATTAATAGTATTATCAAAAAATTTTTTTATTCTAATCTTTATATTAAAATTAAACTGCAAGAAGTAAAAACATCCCATCAAAAGAAATGTATTTGGTTAATGCAAAAGTTTCTAGCATTTTTAAAAAGATCTTTTACTTATATAAATTCATGGCATCAATATTCAGTCTGTTTTTCTAATCTTATTCACATTTTGTTTAAGTTGCATATTGGTTCATAAAAGGGGAATTCCAAGAACTGTTAGGTAAATTGAAATAAGAATATCTGGCAAATAGTGGAGCCAACCACACTTTGCAACAATTTTAGCAGACCCCAATTTGTGTATATTTGACAAGTCAAGAGTAAAATACTTTAGTCCAATTGGTTCATGTCTACACCTGCATATCCAGCTCTTTGTTTACTGTGATGCATTCACAGCACAAGAATGGCTTCTGTCATGCAGCAAAATGGCTGCTTAGCAAAGTAAAGGTTTCAGAGATAAGCTATTGTCCAATTCACACTCCTCTTCAGTCTTTTGAACAGGAGTAATGGTTTATCCCTTATTTCCAGATCCTTCTATCGTCATTCTCTTTCACTTCTAGTAGCCGATTGCATTTTAGTTGCATTATTACCTGGGGTGAATTGGAAAAAAAAGTTATCATTCAAACAAGCAAATGTCACACTGTCTCAGTTTGACAATTATTAGTAAATATTGTATCATACCAGAAATGGAACACGCCTCACTATGCAGCACATGCACACACCCTAGATTATGTCACTGTACTGAAAACTGTTAATGATTTTCTTAATTTTAGATTTTTGCAATGATTTTCATTGCCAGTTATTCTTATTTTGAAAAGTCATGTACAACTTCTTGAGTCATAAATAATTTCAGTTTTTTATTAGGCCGAGTCATAAATGATTTCAGTTTTTTGTTAGGCCGAGTCATGAATGATTTCTGTTTTTTGTTAGGCCGAGTCATGAATGATTTCTGTTTTTTGTTAGGCCGAGTAATGAATGATTTCTGTTTTTTGTTAGGCCGAGTAATGAATGATTTCTGTTTTTTGTTAGGCCGAGTAATGAATAATTTCTGTTTTTTGTTAGGCCGAGTCATGAATAATTTCTGTTTTTCTTTATCAACTTTATTCTTCAAAAAATATAATTAAATTTTCCTCCACATCTGTATTTTCTATCTGAGCACCCGGGCTATGGAAAAAAAGATTTACCATGGTTCCACAGTGGAATTTAATTCTGCTGGGAGATACACAACATTTTTGAAAGAAAGTTGTGCCACTTGTCAGTGCTGTCAAGAATGTTATCATACAGTAGGAAACCTTTACAGGTAGATAGGAATACAATAATGGTATCCAGCTACTCCTGATTGGAACTCATAAACTGTTCTATAAGTATATTGCATTACCACATGTTTAAGGAAGTGGTATATTTGTTCCTGTTCCAGGATGAACATCTGGTGATTATACAGATCTACAGGACTTGAATTGGTATATCTGGTGCTGTGATTACCACAGGTCTACAATCAGTGACGTGGTATACAATTATATCTTCATTATACACAATGACTTATCACAACAGACAGGACTTTGATACAATTTGAGTAAGATTCTGCAAATTCTGGTGTGAAAGTTTTCAATGAACTCTTAAATTTGGTTATCAGTGGAGAAAGTTTTCCTTATCAAAACATTTTACAGTGACTGAAAAAGGTAATAATCAGTTGTTTTTAAGGCTGGGTGATTATGGCAGATTGTACACAACAGACCAACCAAATTCCAATATTTTTTTCCTGTTATTCTTGCTGCATGTAGCTTTGCTTTGTCATGTAGGAGAACCATTTTTGTCCTATTGACAAACGCAAGGTTGGATATGATGATAAATTACATCTGGCAGCAAGACCTCTGATCAGGAGATTGGATTTTTAAGGGGCATGGAACCATCTCTTTATTACTTTTGTTTCCAGATCCACCCTGCTGGGGTAGTAACAACTGTTAGGGTCCCAGCTAGAGGCAAATAGTGTACCCCCCCCAAAAAAAAACACTATGAAAGTATAAAAATACATTATTATACTAAAAGTATCAGCAATACATTTTTATGTTAAAAAAATACAATTAGCAACAATACATATTCATAATAAAATTAGCAACAACACTTTTTTTAAAGCAACATGACCAGCAATGAATTTTATCTCTAGTTGAAGGCATACAATTGCATTCAAAATATATTTTAGTTGAAGCTATAAAATTGTTAAAATTACCTACATTTCAGCATTAAATAACTAATAGAGGTTGATATACCACAAAACAAAATGAAACGCCCAACATGAAAGAACAATTTCATGACATTAATTGATATAATATCTAACAATTTCTTAAATCA